GGTGGTTACCAAATTCCACACACCAGCTGTGGGGTTTTTTTTCGGGACGGCTCCCACCCCCCCCCCCCCTCCTATAAAACACGCCCCCCCCCCCCCCCCCCCCCGCTACTGACGACCGTACTGGCCAACCTGAGAGTTGTTAGATGCTTCAGAATTGCAATTAGTAAAATATATTAATATAATAATTTACCGTTTTATTCATTGAAATATAAAGCTGTGATATGTGTTTCTGTGTTCTGGTTCCCATCTTAAAATTAAACATGCTATCTCCCGTATCATGGTATAAAAATTAATAAATCATATTTTAGTTTGAGACAGAGGCCTAATCCTCTGACAATGGTCCCTTAGCTATACAATCCTAATGGGGTGCCTCAGCCGTGTTTATATCGAGCCTTTTTCAGATCCTGTTTTGAATATAGCATCCAATTCAACACTCTGAACTTCAGGAAGGAAATTTTGCCCTTAAAATGGTTTACAATGCAGATTCATCAGAATTTCCTGAGTATAGATGTGTTAACTTACAAGGATTTGGTAAACTAAATGTACCTTATATTCTGAATTTAAAAACAGCAAGTTCTGGAGAAACTGAGCAGGTCTTGCAGCATCTGTGGAGAGATGAACAGATTTAATGTTTTCAGTCTGATGTGACTCTTCTTCAGAACTTCGAGCTGCCAGACCTGCTGAGTTTCTTCAGCACTACTACTTTATTTCACATCTCCAGCAACTGTGTTTTTTGTTGCTTTAATTGACTTGTGCTCTGTGAGAGCACTGAGGAGTTTAGTTGAAGTGCTTAAAATGTTTAAAAGACATGATGTCCAAATGGCAGAACTCAGGGGAATTGAGAACGAGGGAACATAATCTTAAAATTAGAGTTGGGCCACATCAGAAGGCATTCAAGAAATGTTTTCTTCATACATTCTGTCTGCCTGTTGGGCCTGGCAGACTTGGAACAGTTTGATCTTTCAAGACTGCAATTGATTTCCTTTTATTCTAGAGCGGTATCAACGGCTAAAGCAGGTAAATGGAATTGAGCTACAGAGAAGTCATGATCTAATTAGATGGAAGAGCAGACTGGAAGGCCTGAATGGGTTACTCCTGTTCCCAGACTTTAGCAATACTTCAGCAATGTACCTAACACAGCAAATGAGTAAATTTTCTTTTGTTTCTTACACCAACCATTGTGGTTTGGAGTGAGATTGAAGATTAATGTCATATTAGGCCCATGTAGACCCATGTTCAGTAAGAATTGGATTCCAACTACTCAAACTCATTTGCATAATACTGTTGTTAGCTCTTATCCTGAGATGGATTTTGGTTTAACTCTGACGTGAAAGGCCATTTCTGCTTTGTCTGACCACGGTTGCTTTGTGTCATTGAACTCTTAGCTGCAGTCCCTTGTCTAATATCGATGACAATATTTAGTTTGATCTGAATTCTGCAGTGGTAGTGGTGCTGAAACATCAGAAATCATCTTCATGTTTGCTATGGTGTATTCTTGAACAGTATTAAAGTTGAAATCTGTCTGAAAACACTGATGCTAATGCTAAACATGGCTGACTGAGAAATCATGCTATGTAATCAATAATATTTTGTTGCTCGATGTTAGTGTGTAATGTAGGGGACAAAAGAATTAAGGTTATTGGCCTTTGATAATCAAAAGAAAATGGGTCAGCATTTATCTTTCTAAAGTGGGAAGGTCAAGGTTTTGATTAAATATTAACTGAACTTTTGCCCTTTAATGTACCAAAGTATCTAAAGTCTTGCCTTTGAATGCTTATCAGAATGATGTTTTGAAATTTGAAAACCTACCTATGTTATGGTACGTTTCATTAGAATCTGTTAGTTTGCTGCATGCCTCGTTTGTACTGTACAAATTGTGTTTGTCATAAATCAATTAAAGCAAGTAATGCCTGATTAAAGGCATACAATATTATTAAATAATCAATGGTTTTGCCTCTTCGTTTTATGTTGGAAACATTTTAGTGTTTTCAGCATTTTGACCGGCATTATAAATAATGGCTGAACATTTCAAATCATTCTAGAATGTCTTGTCATGTGATAGCCACGTGATAGCTACTCACAGCTAATAATGTCTGCATGTTTGTGAAATGTGAAAATGACATTGACACCGTCTTAAAAAGTTGCATCGAATTGTGTTTAATCTCGTTTAAATATTTACTGGCAAAACCTTTAAATTTATGTTTATGGAAGAACAAATGATGAAGTAGCAACTAACACTCTTTACCATCTCTTTAGTGCCCTGATACAACAATAATACAAAGTTTTTGATTAATTCTAGCAATCAATCTTTATTAGTCCACAACAAAATCAGTGGAGCAAGGAAGTACTCTTGTAGATGGCTTTGAGAACCATGTTTCCAATGTCATCTGGTCCTCCAAATGTTATTTTAATACATGTCTCAAATTGTTTGTACTACATCCTAAATTGCTTAGCTTTGCTCAACTTTATCAAATTTGTATTAATGTATATTTACATAAACTTGATCTGTTTTTAAGCCTGTCCTTGAATTTATCACTTGCTTCTTCAGAATATTTCTGAATTTATCCCCCAAGTCCAGACCATGCTCTTTGGCTGGACAATTCTGGATAAGGTGAATCAGCAGTCACAGTCTTAACTATGTAGTTCCTTTGGAATCCCCAAAACAGCACTTTTCCTGCCTCTAAATATGTTTTTTATGAGATTGGAATTACCTCTGATCAATTTCCTGCATCTCTAATCATTCTGCTTATTCTTTTCTGTAACCTCTATGGCTGCAATTTTTTTTCTATTCCAACTGGCCTATTCCTGTTACTATGTAGTCATAAATCCTTTAGCTAGGTGATTATTTTGTTACAGTTTCTATAGTTGGAAATGGTGTAACCAATGTGTTAACTAAGATTAAATTGTTAATCTCTACAGTAGTATTGCCCCTTCAACATTTTAGGTTATATCTCTGAAAAAATTATATTGTGAAGAATATTGCTCTTATAGAAACACGCATTGCTGGGAATACTTCAGTTCTGGTAGTTCTGCAGAGAGGAACAGTTAACGTTTCAGGATGATGGTGTTTTAAGATGATGTCTGTTTATGTTTGATGGACTTTATGCTGTCCTGAAGATTCATGATGTATTGTTATTACTTGGAAATGTGGGTTCTAAAGTGAACAGAACCATGTATGGCTGTTTATTTGATTTGTATTTCTATATTATGTTAAGAATGAGAAACATAGTTTTTGTTTTATATTTGAAATCCTGTGTTATGCCACATAGTCTAAAAATTTGTTTACGTGCATTTGAATGAAGCCTTTGTCTCTGAAATGGCCTGCTGTTATGTTTTACAGGACTAATAAAGTATTCTTAACCACTTGCCTTGCCTTGCTAACTTCAGGGATCTTAAGGATATGCACTCCAAAGAGCCTCTGTTCCTCTACATGTCTCCATATCTTAATGGTTTTCCCT